GCTTCAAACAAGAAGCATTACTATTAAGTGGAAGTTGATAGAAGACATTTGGTATCCCTTTCAGAGATATGAGTAACTAAATGATACTGTGGTGAACGAAAACACAGGCGGGGACAACCAAATATATTCGAATACAAAATCACAGAACGTCTTATTAAATTTGAGAGCCATACAGTAAATACTTCACTTGCAAAACATCAGTCATTTGTCTCAGACTACATTCTTTCTTTGTTTCCACACCAATCATTCTCTTTTGTTTGATCTTAAACTTCTGACTCCAGGCATTTCACTTTCGATTGATGATACATACTACTTATATCTGCCGACATCAGTAGCGTACACCACGATATTATCTAAAGAGTATCCGTTGAAGTTGTCATGAACAAGTTATGTAATAATCACTGACAAATCAGCTTTCATACTTGTATGTCGGTATTTTCTTGGACAATGTAACCGAGTAATCAAGTAATCTGGCCATAAATTACTAAGTTTTTTTATGAAAATTAATTGCATTTGTCAGTAACTATTATTTAAAACCATTCCTTAATTAAAACATAAGTAAGGGACTAAACAAGTGTTTTAATTACAGTATTAGTCTTTTGATCACCAGTGATTGACCTAGAGATTAACTCCCGAAGTTTTGGTGGAATTCAGTTGAGTTCAGCTTTGTCAGCAGTGAATTATTACACCTTTATGCAATTGAACAATGTCAAGCTATATTGCAGTCGAGTTGAAAATTAAAATTTGTATAGGTGCGTTTAAACTTCACAATCTAAAGGCAAAGTCTTCATTATGAAAACTGAATGTTCTCGATCTGATCCTTGGCAAGGTTATGAGTACTGACTGCTAAGAGATTTCAGTTAAGATTAAAACAATTGTTTTCGATGATCCCTAGATTGATGAAAAAACCAACTTTAAATGATTTTTTTCTCAGAATAAGATATGCATTAATAAAAAAATTCATTGGAAAGAATTTTGAAAGTTAATTTAAAGCAGAGAACATTATTTCAAATCGATAGGTATTCACGATGTACTGTTTAGTAGTTAATTATAAATGATTTTCTAACATTACTTTCTATGAAAAATTACATAAGTTTGGTACTTTTGAACTATATAAGGACGAATAATATAAAAAGATAATGAAAATGGTTGGTTCAAAAGATAATAATGTAAAGAAAGATATGAGAAGTGTATCTTAAATCCAGAAATCTCTATCTTGTTCAACTGGGTAAAAGATTGTCTTTTGAAGATTGCTTCTACCATGAACTTACATTTTTCATTCATTTTTGCACGAAATTCTGTTCTTTGGTTATAATCATAATGACAGGCATAAAAAGAAATGTATAGGTATTGTATGAATGAATACGTCTGAAGTCTTGATTGTGGTTGACTTGTTTATATGCTTATTTGTTTCAAATAGAAACTGTTTCCTAGGCATTAGTTTGTTTCTTGATATAAAAATTTAAAACTCGTGATTAATGTTTACGTAAGATCAGTATTTATTATTAGTTTGTTATGTATGATAAGGAATAAAATATTAAGTGCTACTTAATTATCGCTTTTGTTTTCAAGTTAAATGAGTATGAGCAAACTGGAAAAATCTGCCCGATTAAAACTCAAACAGATTTCAATGTTGTAAGTAGTACAATTCAGACAAAAAGTTAAAACTCATAAGTAGTCTACACTGAAGCATCGTACAAAATTAGATATTGTATTATTATTGTAGCGTTGTAAAAGATTGTACAAAGGAAACTGATCATACTAGTTAGTTCATGGAGGATTTCATATGACAAATTATTTATACTTCAATATTTTTTAAGTAAAACTGCATATACTATGATAGTTTTTTTATTCAAAAGCCTTATAGTAATGAGGTTATCAGCATATCCGTACATAAATATTAATTGTTATAGTTTTGTTATATAATTCAAGATGGTAAGTTCATTTGATACATTTGAACTGAACTGAACCAACGAACCATTCATCATAAATATAGGTCATTTCCACTGAATGCTCAAATGTGTACTTAAATTTTAATAGAAATAAGGACCGGGTTGGGAATTGGAAGCAGACATCAAAAGAACGAGTAGTAACTGGGATAGAGTTCGATGGAGAATCCTGGTGGGCGGCTTATGCTTCTCCACGACAGGTAACAGGTGTAGGTAAGTAAAGATCGAGCTAGGAGTTTTTGGCAATTTCTAAAAAGATTATATTAAGTAAGGACGTATAAATGTCGAGTTTTAAAATTTACCAAAACCCTTGATTATCAAAATATATCTTGTGGATTTCCCACTTTCTCCGATATCTACAAAGACAGATTGAAACTATCTGGCGTGTCTCCATTCGGATCAATTAATGGAAAATATAAATCTTAATTATAGTCGCAAATGCATAACTTCGTACGAAGGGTTATTTAAATATGAAAATAAAAGCGAGTAAAGAGTAACACAAAACTTAGGTAGCTACTTTTAGTGAATTAGTTAGTATATTTATAATGAGTGTTTGTTTAACAATTCTTTAATATATTTCTATACAGTCTATAAGTGTTGAAGTCATGGTGTCTTATTAAAGTGAATCAGTTCTTTCTATTGCAGAAAGAAGCGTGAATGTGCTGGAAGCACAAGGAAACCTGAATGAACTGAAAGTGTTATGACTTCTGGCTTGTCGATTCTCACAAACAGAACATGACTTATACAATCTCAGTATTGTGCCAAACCAATGACGCGTTGACTGCTACGAGCAGCCTGTAATCCTTATTGACACTTCGTGCCTAGCTTCGCCTGTTGAGTCCAGAACACCAATATCAGCTTCCACTATATGAATTGTGTTTCAGACATACTTGATTTATATACAAGTAAACCAAACCGCATCAAGCCATAAAATAAAAAATAATGATTAAACATGATCAAGTACAAAAGTGGCTATGAATGTGAGAGACTGTAACGAATAAATTGTGAATAAACTAAGACTAGTAAATCTTATGATAGTTGTCAATGGGTCAAATTAAAGCTTATGATAAAAGGAATATAAATATATATATAATCTAGTTACTTAACAGTTATACAAAAAGAATATGTATATAATATTAGTCTATTAATGGTTTCCGGAAGTTATCAGTACTTTATTTTCTTCGGATATAACAAGAAGTACGAGATGATGCATAAAAACAAAGTTTTCAAACTCTTTTGTTCCCTGTTGATCGCGTGATTCAACTTCAAAATACAACCATTTGTGTCATCACTTTGAGTTGTTCATTTACTAGTGCTCATCAGTTGCTTTTCGTGTGTTGTTCAGGTCTTTCCTGAGCCCTGATGAACCACCACAGCACAGGTTACCAGTCATCATTGAAAACCACATTTTCAATCATCCATTATTAAGATAACTTTTACAGCTCATTAGATCTAATAGACTATGTGTTACTCATTTTTTGTACCAAAAATGTTCATGTTGTGTACTCTCTGAGAAACATTATTTGTGATGCGTCATAGTCTCATATTTTATGCATATAGTCACGTGAGTTCTATGTCTAAAATACTCATTATTGTTTCTGGTGTTCTGCTTAGTGGTTTGGATACATATTGTATTGTGTGGCAAATCGATCACATGAGAAATATAGTAATTCAATTAATGAACTTGTTATTACAGGTACAGTGGAAAATCTATCATAGTTGTTGATATACATGAAAAGAAATTAAATTGTTGGTAAAGGTGTACAAAAATATATAACTATGTATTCAGCGAGAAGAAAGGATACTTTGCAAAAGTAGAGAACAAACCAGTAGAATATTTCCTTTACTAAACACAATAATATTTAAAAAACGAGAATAAATTGACTCCATAATAAATATAATTATGTGATATTCAAATGTATAGACATAGGCATTTTGGCGTTTCGTGACTCAATCTAAGTCACTTCTTCAGGGTAACTAATTAAATTGACTTCGTTTTCTAAAATTCTACAACAGAGATTCATTCACAAAAATCGAAAATTGTTTCAGCAATTATTTCAGCCGTCCAGTGCTTCCAGGTTTTCAATGGTGGTCTAGCTTCAACTGACTCATGATTTCAATCTGTGAAAATAATCAATCAACAAAACTCGGTTGATTAGCTCCTAATTTATGTTAATCAATCCTATATTTAGCCATCTATTTGCGAATTATTGTTTATTTTGTGTAAGACGATGCAGAGTATACCATTAGATTACAAGAAAGCGAAATGTAAAAAATCGACTAATGATTATACTCTAAACGCAATACAGTGAAGAAATATGTCAATAAATAGATCACTATTTCAAATGATTTAAAATATGAAAATAATTTTGAAAACTTTAAAACATCGATATGTAGACCATTGATTTAACACACTTGCCAAATACCAAACACAGTGAGATGCCAATGTTATCTTAGTAACCAATTGATAAAACGTGGAAAACCAGAAATCTGAATTTTTGTTTCATAAAACACGTTCTATTATGTAACATGAATAAGTTCTTTTCGAAATCTAAAGCTAATAGACTCTATCTCGTGAGTTAACGTCTTTTTTAAGAAAAATAATTTAACCCATCTGATCTACTAAATATAAATACTTATTTAATTGGTTTGTATCAATATTGTTTCTGTTAGTGATAGTGTAGATTTAAACCGAATTACTTGGAGTGGGTTTTAAACCTACAAATTAGCGATTAAAAGTCAAGTGAGTTTCATTTGAAGACATACAAACCTTATACTTATCATTGGGGTAAACATATACTTGGATATTGATTTTACCAGAAAGACTGAGAGTCTTACGAACGAGTATTGACTTTTTTAGCACCGAATTCACAATAACTCGGAATACAACTAGAAGTTTGATAAAATATTTCACCGTTAGATATTTCATCATATTAAAGATGAAAATTAAGATCCTGTTTGATCAGTTTACATCCATACCATTAACATAAAGTATTAAATTGTAACGAAGAAATGCAAACGTTTGTTGATAGAAATTCATGCAATCGGTAACCTTTACTGAATTAAACAAAACGAAAACATAGTATTTGTACAATATGGTGAATTCATTGTATTTCGTTGCCCTCTCAAAAGTAATGTACAAGCCATTAAGTTAAACTGATTCAAATTTTCAACAGAATGCTTAAAAATGAATTATCAACCAATAACAAATAAGTTGTTAGAAATTTGAGTAAAGTTAAGAATCAACCGTTTAAAAGTGATGTTCCATAATTGCTTAAGATGATAATTCTAGAATATTATTACATGACAAAACAAAACATCTTGAAATTTTAAAGGAAGAACCTGTAGGTTCAACTCACTAGACTGTGATCACAATTAACTGAAGAAAAGTCAAAATCTTCAATTCGCTTGTGTTACCAAGGTCAGGTTTGAACCTTTTAACTGCTATGTCTTTTGAATTCAGTGCATCTGCTTTTTGGCCTGTATCTAGTTGGGGGAGGATCTATATCACCTGTAAAAATGGTTTTATACTGCTTAAAAAACGAAAACGTTTAGTATTAAGATCAATGGAATAAAATTGTTAATGTACAGCTAGATTTCCATATCTTAAAGTAACAATATTTAAAATTACCTAGAACATAAGCTTCGATGGCAGATTTTAAAACTAAGTTGGATCAGCAATGTAAACGTTCAGTTTGAACAGGCATAAACCCGATTTTCCAATAAACTTCACTTCGGATACTAACTGAACAGTTCAAGATGTTTTTCTACAAATGTAGATTATAGCCCAGTTATACTATTATTTATTTTATTGTAACACATAGATGTTGGTACAAGGAGGCACCAAATACATATGCGCCACACTAAGCTCATTTGATTTGTGTGAGGGCTGTGATACTGCCCGGGTGTCCAAACCGAACCAGGTGGTTTTCTTAAGGGCCTACACCCAGAGCCTTCGACCTAAATGTCTGATCCACAAGGCAGTGAAGCATCGTAAGGAGATGCAGTCCCATGGTAGTCGGTGACCGACGATTGGTTCATACGCCATTTGTTCCTTCAGGATCCTGGAGCCCATGTACACCATTGGTTTGGAATCAGGGTTTTCCAACTCCCCTTGGTGGACTATCCATGTCCACCAACTCGATTAAAGCGCCGGACGTTCGCTTTTCATCCTCTCAATTTCGTAAACAATACCTTTGCCACGAGAAGGCAGTGAGTAGAACTTTCTTGGCAGAGGCTATATACGCGTGGTGATGCTAGGGCATTTCGAAAGGGAGAGTGGACTCTCCCCACTCTCGACCGCACCAGGGTATTTTGGGGCAGTTATACTGATGTTCAAGTATCGGCTTAATTGTATATTACTGTAAGGGGGTCTTTTATTTATTCATTAATAGTTAGTAATTAATTGTTAATGAAGAGACGGGCATAATTAAAAAAAAACAGTTTGGTAAATTGTAGTTAAATGTCATCTTTGCTAGGTATTTTGAAAATTATTCATGTTTACTATTGATTTTTTTCTGATAACCATGTACACAGACTTTGCTATCAGTCAATTTATCAACCGATCCTAAAATGTGGCTAAGGTAAAATGATCAATTATATATTATCATGATAAATACTACTTAAACATATGCCAAAGTTGTGATATTAGGTTGTCTGATAAATAATAACTAAGTTTGTATTTTATCATATTGATGTGAAAAATAATGGTGTTCATTTCATTTCTAATATTCCTTTTCCGTTTTTGTCAACAACAAAAAAATAGGGAAGCGTTTAATGTTTCATTCAATCGTGAACACTAACAATATAATATGCAGGGATACTATAACAGTAATTGAATCTTGCCTTTAAATGATATAAAGTCACAATAAAATATTGATTAATAAGTGAGGTTTCTCTCATTGAAATAATCAAGATTACATACAATTGATTATATTGCAAGAGTTTCAGTCATTTATCCTTTCTAGTAATACAATCGTACATAGATACACCGACAATAAATTAAATATTGCAGATAAATGTGTACATGAATTTAAACATTATTAAAATTAAACAAACAGAATTCAGTATTAATTTCATAAATTTAATATATAAACAATAAAGTGAGAAAAACATGATAGTGTATCATCTAATTAATTAAAATAAAGGATATAAATAAAGCAGTAAATCGATGTAACACAACTCAATATGGCGAATTAAATATTAACGTGATAAATGAATCACAGTCAGATGGAGAATGCTGGTTGGCAGCCTGTGCTCTTCCAAGAGGAGTAACAGGTGTAACTGAGTGATAAATGAATAACTGAAGATGAAAATGACGCAAAAGATTAAGAATTAAAATGATTAAACAGAGACAACAATGAACAATTGAAGATTCATGAAGGAAAATAGCCTATAATTACTAAATTTGTTAAGGGATATACAAATTTTATAATGAAATAGGATATAAAGTGGACAGTGAGCGTTGGAATGAAGAGAAGGACAAAAGCAATAAAAGTGAAGTCGATCTGATGATGAAAGACAGCAAATAAGGAAAATAATTACGCTTTGTTTATAGTTATTTCAGTTTATAAAAGAAATGTATTACAGAAATGGAATGATTTTTCTGAAATCAAATTCACATATGGAATATAGTAAAATAATTGTAAACATTATCGATATGAAATTAACACCAACGGAAAAACATCACAGTTGACATAGAAACAATTAGTTATGATAAAATACAACAAGTTTACCGTAAATAATCATTTAAAAAAACCAAAATAATCATTGCCATTTGAATTTATTTCAACAATACATTTGTAAGAAGTATTAATAGCAATAGTACGTTTTATAAATGCAGTAAACATGAAATAGATCATTTTAAAACTGGAAAAAAAACATAAGTTGGAAACAGTAAAATCTGAAGAACATTTTTTTCAAACCACAATTTTCTTCTCTTTAATTGAGAGATTTTTGAAAATTCCTTTAAGAAGAACCCAAGAGATTATGTATGGCCGATTTTAGTATCATTGAAGTAGATAATTACCTGAAGAAAACAAGAAAATTGAATATCGGAAAAATCTGTTGAACACTAAGAAATCACTAAGAAATCTAATCAATCAATTAAAAAATTGTTAAAAATTAATGAGCCAAACATTTATGATTGAAATCAAGAATCTATCAATTATAGGCCACCACTGAAAACCTGGAAGCACTGGATGGTCATTTAGTTCTAGAATGGGGGACTCCTCAACAGTACGCATCAACAAACCCGCACACGGTAGGAGTCCTATACTAGGACGAAACAGCTGTCCAGTGCTTCCAGGGTTTCAGTGGTGGCCTAACATTGATCGATTCGTGATTTCAATCAAAACTCAATTTCCACAACCCTACATTGATAACTAGACAATCGTTCAGCATTAAGGTTGTATACTTGTTCATACATTACTTTTTAAAATTATACACTTATAAAGCTGAATATGACAATTTATTTATGAATCGCTTCATAAGTCAGTCATCTGTGAGTGTATACAATAGTGCGAGAAAAGCATGATCCATTATCTTTGAAACAAAACTTAGAAACTACGTGATAAATTTATTTTCGTTTTTTCTAACTATTCATTTATAATATTCAGTGAAATTTATGTTTGAGGATTTTAACAGTAAAACCAATTAATGGATTCAATGTCCAGGTTACGACTAATGAATTTGATTACATCTTAAATGATTTACCCACATGATATGAAAATGATTGAAAATAAAGAAGTACGCTACCCTTTTATCAGGAAGGCAACTATACTGAAGTAATGATAAATTGGTATAAGCGGTAAGTCAGCAGTTATACCACTTAGATTTTAGTCAGACTCGGACATTCTTTGATAATACCTTGAATTTAGACCGCCAGATAATATCGCTGACCATTAGTAAGAGAAAAATGTACTTCACAGGTGAATAAACTCCTCTGTATTAGGTAAAATCAGTTAGATTATCTCAAGAGTATGTAGCGGTTCATATTGCTACATTTCACATCAGAATAATTAGTGAAAATATCAGATTTGGTGGATCAGTTATGACGAATAGAGAATTCAAAATAAAGTTTTAAAAATGAGGAATAATACATGTTGACCATTTAGACAAAAATATAATGAATATATTTATTTTGCTGAGATCACATTTTAGTCATACAAAGTATTCAACTATAAATGTCGATTTGTTTAGCGAACCTCAAACAAGAAATCTGTTTAACAACTCTGAAGGGCTCAACTGAACGGTCAATATTATTACTAGGCAAGAATATTTAAAATATTATGAAGACTGAAGTGGTTAGTATTGAAGACAAGTTAGTCATAAAACCTGATCATGCGACTAAGAATTGTTTCGCATTGATTATCTTGCCTGACTTGTCAGATTTGTCATGGAACACTCTATTCTGGTTAACATCACTTTATGTCAGATGGATGAAGGAATTTTTTAAAATTCATTTATTTGACTCAATAACCTCCACATCAACAAAGAGCCTTGTCATACACCAATAACAAGTAACAAATATCAAACTGCTGAATACAGTAGTATTCCCAAACCCTTTAGTATAGGATATAAAATTTTCGGTATATGAACAAGTCATCGCTCGGATGATAAAGAAAAAGGTTATTTGCTGAACAGGTTTTTATGAAAGCTTTTTTTGACCGACATGAAGATCCAAATTCAACACTCCACTTCTGAATAATGAAGGCTACAATTTTTTCGAGGACCAAACACACTTGATCATCAGTTGCAATATGGATAAATCAGTTTTTAGGAAATATTTTGATGTAGATAAAAATGAAATAAAGTACTGTTTATTTAGCAGATTTCTATATGAGTGAAATATAATTATGGAGTGTACAAATGACAAACAAACTAATTATTTGTTTTGATTTTACGTTATACCTTGCGAAAACGTCACATGCATGTAAGAATGAATATAAACAAACTTGATGTCTCAGTAATTACGTGTCACGTGAATGAAGTTCCAGGCATATTTGCTAGCATTCAACAAGTGATGTAGTACGGATAGCAGTAAATAATTGTAAAAAAGCGGAGGAATCAATAAAATACACAAATGACTTAGTTTATTATAATTTGCGTTTATAAAGAATTAAGAACAATGTACAAGCAACGGTGGTTTAGGGGTTAAGACACTTTCGACAATTAATAACTAGATTATGGGGTCGAAACCAGTCCAAATTTATTCAGTTAGGAATCCCAGGTAGTATCACTGGTGGTCGATAGACGAGTATATGAACGATGTGGTTAATCACAGAGTTATACTATATTATTATTCTCAATTTATAACTTTGTATGCTTATATGCTACACTTCTGATTAACAACCTTTTTGATATGCTGGACAACTCCTACAGTCACACACTGACTCGAAGGAAGTATGGGAGACGGATTCTTGGTAAGCTAACTATACAAATCTTACATGTTGCCGTCAGTGTGACAAGCAATGGATATGTAATAGACGTAAACATTAGGAGTGCGACTTCGACATTAAGCTTTCTATACTGGTGTGCCTTTACCTTATACATAGGTTGCTTTGTCAAGTGTGGAATAGTCACAGTTTTTTAACGTAAATCAGTTGCTGAAACAGAATTATATACTAGATTTCGAGCAATTAGCTATTAGCACGAGGACCTGAATAACTAGCCGATTACTTAAACTAGGTTTTAGTTAAAAACCTAGGTGTTTTAATCATTCTGCCAGTGACGTTTTACACAAATTTAATAAATGAACACAAAGGCAAATAGATATGAGTAGAAAAAATTACTTGGTAGCTTACCATAAACATGTGTATATAATTCTGCATAAATATATATAATTGGAGGAGTTATTGACTTAATTTCGATAAAAGACTTTCGAAACTAAAACCAGGAAAACAAAAAGGAATCAAAACACGAGGGTTAAAAGCAAGGCAGATTTAAATTATTAAAGCATCAGGGCAAAACAAACTTCTGCCGATTAGTTGACTAATGAGCGATTCAGTGAAAGCAGTTTTCGGTAGGAATTCACGGTTTTCAATAGTTTTTCAGAAATTTATCTTACAGATAAAAACAGACCAGGGTTAGGATAAAAGGTTTACCTTTACAAGAACGGTTTTCTTCTACAGTATCGCATTGATAGTACCATCATCAACTATCCTCCTTCATCAGAAATCAAAAACATCAACAACACTAGAACGGTTACAGTTAGAGGAGTACCCATGTGACTAGTCCATGTGATTATATGCTTAACATCAATCTTACTCTCTCGGTGGTCTTAGGTCATGGGCACAAATAATCATTCGGTGGGAATTATAGTTTCATGAACACAGCGAATCCCATCAACTTTCATAGGTCATGACATGTATGAACAACAGATACATTACTGTTGTCTGTCACAATTCATTAAAACTAATATAAATATAATAAAAATAGTACAATTGTGATGTATTATTATATTGTTTTGATTAATAAAAATCTACCCAACACTCAGTTTATTTAAATTTATCAAGTCAAACCTCGGTTATGATACCAAATATAAAAATCGTTATGGAAAATGTGTTTTACATAAACATTAGACCAATCAATACATCATCATAATAAGCTGTTCTAACAAGAAAAATTCATCAATACAATCCATACTCATAGTGCTAATAAAAATAATATTCATCAGTGACCACTGCTTGTTGAAGGTCATACATTCTAACATGTATCATTAATACTAATACATTCATTCAATAGCTTAGGTAATAAAACAACCAATAATTGTATATTGCATGAAAATATAGTTATAACAATATTAGGTTGAATGACGTATTAATTAATATACATTATGTAATGAGTAAATGACTTCTGACAAAAAAAAGCAGAATTAAAGAGTTATTTAAACACATAATACAACAAGACGTCCTTACAAAAAATAAAAGGTAGTTGACCAACCAACGAAAGACAGGGAAGTATTCAATTGGTTATTTAGATAAAGACTGGATATCAACTGAGTGTTTTCACTTCTATATCGAAGGAGAATAGGGATATACTATTTCTTAGTGGGTTAACTTCTCTGATATATAAATATCATTGTTATTATGAAGGTTACTGGAAATAATTCTAGAGTTTTAAAATGCGATTTGCATTCATCTCTACTGCAGGCAGTCGGTTGCCTCCCATAGAAAAATAACAGATACAAAGCAATATAGTAAAACGTACAATTTTTTGACGCCTAGATTTGGTCTGAAAGTTCCATAGAGTTTTTCATCCGGTTCACGATTAATAGGACCTTGTACAGGAGGATCTTCATCCCTTGTAAACAAAAAGTTGAAAATATCATCAGTCACACAAATATTTTTGTAGTAGTAATACTCATAGTAAACAACATGCGGAATTAAATGATTCAAAAAGTTCTTATTAATACCAATGTGTCATAAGAAAGTTAAGTACATTAACAGAGTAATCAGTTAGGTGTTAGATAAGTAAGTATGGTTAGATATAATAATCCAGCTTGAAGTATTTGTGTTCCATTTTAACAAACATATGTGCTTATCAAGTAAAAATTTACTAATACTTATATTTAGTTTCTAGGTGATTTTCACCACGCATCGATGTCATCAGGTGAACAATAGAAAATCAAGGTGTATTGGAAACCAGTCTCAGCCTCCTCAGCAGTGCACACCCACAATTCTACCTGAACAGAATAGAAACCTAAGACTCAAAAAGTTCTAAATTCAATATCAAACTAGGTTCATTTCTAAGAAGTCCCCAAAAATGTCTCAACATGATTTTGAAGCATCCCTCAACTGATGTCAGTTCGTAACGAAAGTTAACTCGAAGATACAAAAACATTTTCTTAGAAAAGTATGTTCACCTATATCGTTACCTGTAAATATATCGGTAATAATTGAATAATAAAAACGAATGATACTAAGAATAGTATTGCATCAGTAAATAGTTGTGCGTTATGTATAATTCATCCATCAAATGTTGCATAAATCATGTGAATAACTTTGAAATTAAATTCATGTATTATAGTATATCAATGATGATTATTATTGCTCAATTAGATAATATCACCTATGAAAATATACAGTATTTGATAAATGTTACCAATTTTGACTAAATTACATTAAGTTAATCAAACTCATTCCAATTTTAAAAATTGTAATAATTCCTAAGAACAATTTCTTTTAATATTTAACTATATACAAAGTTATAACTTGAAATACTGTAAAAAAGAGTTTATATTCTGTAGGTAGAATATTCAATGTTATATTCCTAGAACTTTACAATAAGATGGAAAACAATGCAATAAAGATTCAACTTATACACTTGTGTGACATTATTCAATTAAACAAAATAAATGAGAGATTGGAAATTCAAGTATGTCTTATTGCATGATTTGAATTCATAATTCTAAATATATGAACATTAATGTAGTGGTTTATATTTGTCAAATATATAAAGAGTACCGTAAGACAATCCGTAGAAATTTTCAATAAAACAAACTGGAAAAGACTGGATATTAAACATATAAAAGTTGTAAGATGAAAGATTTTAATTAGACATTGAACTTAAAAATGAATCTTCAATGTAGACATTTCTCACAAGTAATTGGTACTACAAACACGTGTGTGAAAAAGTTTTCTTTAGAGGTCAACTAATCCTTACATCTTAAATCTGTCCATAAATGACATTATCAATGAGCGATAAATTGAAAGTGTTAGTTATTAACGAAAACGCTAGATGTGGGTGATGATTAATCATTTAGGCCATATGGTAGCATATATGCAAAAGGTTTGAGTGGTAGAGCAGAAAGTCTTTAACAACCGACTACTCTCACTCTGGACAATATGAAACGAGAGATGGGAATTACTTACATACTAATCTAACCATTAAGGAATGAATCGATCAATGTTAGAGTACCATTGAAAACCTGAAACCACTGAACGGTCGTTCCATCCTAGTATGGGACACTTCAGCAGTGCGCATCCACGGTCTCGCACGCGGAACTCGAATACAGAACCTTTAGTCCCGCTTGCGAATACTGAACTTTTAAACCACTGAGCAAGCAACCAGCGGTGTTCATGTCTTACTTCAACCAACCCATGGAATCGCGCGACAATTTTCCATTGTCTTCGGTGGGTAAATGCCTCACATCTGACACGGATTAGCTCCACTTGTCAAGCCTTCTCGCTAGACCTTTGAGAATTACCTCTCGAAGTTAGTCACTAGTGAGCACATAGTATTATCAGTATAGGGTTGTGGAGAATGTTGATATTTTGATTGAGATCATGAGTCGATCGTGAATTTGTTGAAGTTAGACATTAACACTATTGGATGCCATCTCAGTGATCTAGAGGTTAAGCATTCGCGCGCGAGACCGAAGTACTGAGTTTGAATCCTGTCTGCAGGATCGTGGATACGCACTGCTGAGGGATCCCATACTAGGACGAAACGGCTGTTCAGTGCTTCCAGGTTTCCAATGGTGATCTAACATTGATAGATTCATGATCACAATCAAAAACTCAACAATTTCCACAACCCCGTATTGACACTAAGGAATGATTGAATGCATAGATTTCGTGTTTCGGAACAGTTATTATAGGATTTTCTACCCTGCATCTTTTATTATACTCATTAAAATCCTAAATCAGAGGAATATTAAGCATTTGCTAATGTAATTCTCTAACAAAACAGTGTTATTCATAAGCGGAATGGTAATCCATAATAAAAATTGAATGTTGCAATCACTAATCCCTTGAAGAATTTTATCACTTCATGTCAGTTTTTATCACAAGCTGAAATCAGTTAATCAACCACTGAATCCGTTTTAGAACTCTTCAGGAGAGTGAAGACATGAAATCAAACACAGGATGTTCATTGCTTAAGGAGAGTACGAATACTGATTGATTTGGAACCCAATGAACTAAATTTGTGATATCTCTTACTCATTGCCTTCGATCACAGCATCCTGCTGGATCTTTGGAGAAATCACTTCGAGGACACTTTTTTTCCAAAAAACATCGATAATTTCACATTATGTTTACCACATCCATCAAAAAAGTCTTATATATATTAAAAAACAAAACATTTCTACTACAATTACTGTAACGATAACATGTTTTGATTATTAATTCAAATTAAATTAATTAATATCAAAAATATATAATTCGATGTCAATAGAGTGTGAAAAAAAGAAAAGTTCTGAGAGAGAAAAAGACAGAAATCTAAATAGTAAGGATCAGAATTCATTCTAGTGATAACTTTTTCCGTAGTCATCTTTCACACATGGTGTATTGTGGTGTGTGCTACTGACGTCGAAGGATGTAAATAGTATGTATCATCAATCAAAAGTGAAGTGTCTAGCGGCAGAAGGTTAAGAAGATCGAAGGAAAGAGAAAAAGAACAGTGAATTATTGCTGTGGAAATGGATGAACAGTGAAGTCTGAGACGATTGATTAACATTTGTAGAAGGAACAGTCAAGTTTGAGACAATTGATTGACATTTTGCAAATGAAGTATTTACTGTATGGTTCTTAGATTTTACTAAGATGTTCTGTAATTTTGTGTTTAAATACATTCCGTTGTCCCCGCTCGTGTTCTTCGTTCACTACAGTATATTGCAATTCAAATGAGAATTTTAAAAAATCCATTTTAGAGAGAGATTAATACTGAAACCAAGTTTGATTCGTAATTCAATTGTGAACTGCCTTGTTTAACAAATACAATAAACACCATGCATACAAACATGAGGATAAAAAAACCTTAATGAAGCGTAAAGAAAAACTACAAAATAATGTGTATCCGTTGACAGAATTCATATTAATACTATAAAAGAGACGAAGCAATCAACAAACGATATCATTAATTAAAACAAATAATAGGATGATAGAAATTGAGATAAAATGTTTATTGAATAAAGATGTATAAATAAACAAAATTTATGAGATTGACTTTAAAAAAATTATGAATATTCAGTTTTTAAATAATCGTTAATATCCCATAGTTTATTATGATAAACGTGTACATTAACACTAAGATTATCTGATATTGATGAAAACGCGATGATAGCTAATTCATCTGACCGTTTGTCTATAAGCTGTTCATTTTGCTATGAATTAGCTGATGTCAGTTCGGATTCGTCATAGTAGTTTCCTCTTCTTAGATTCATAGAGTTTATGGGTATCTCGAAAGAAAGATGTATTGAATCTTTCTAAGGTTGTTTCTTCAGTTCTTCAATCTTTCTTTAGCTTTACATTAATCTTGGCCACAACAACGTGGTGATATGAAGCTATGTCAGTTCCTCTCTTTGTTCTCATGTCTTCCAGTGGTATTCTGCATTTTTCAGTGATGTAAATATGATCGATCTGGTTCTCTGTGGTGTGATACGGTGAAATTCATATAGTTTTGTATATCTTCATACCCGGTGTTGTCAATTCTGACTTTGGTGTTTAAGTCTTCCGTCAAAATGATCAAGTCCTTTCCTGGACACTTCTCTTCGATTGAATACAGTCTCTCATAAAACTGATATTTGTCGTCCTTGTTCATATTATTGGTGGGTGTATAACACTGAATAACATTCATTGTAATTCGCTCCTTCTTTGTTTTGAAGAATGATTTGGTGATTCTGGATCCATGAAATTCCCATTCTACAAGTGCTTTTCGTGCTTCCTTGGATAAAATCAGAACAACTCTTTACATGAGTGGAGCATTTTCCTCTTCGTGAACAAAGCACAACAGCACCTCTTCCGAATACAACCTTTCTCGTTCAGTTGATCCCAATCAACTTCATCAAAAAGTACCAACCGCACGCAGCATCAGAACTCAAGTCAAGCGTAAAAATCAACAAAAGGATCACCCTACCATACATACAAGGAATATCAGAAACAGTAACGAGACTGCTGAAAACCTTCGGGATAGGTGTGGCACACAAACCGACAAAATCACTACAATCAATCTTATGCAAATCAAAAGATGAAATAATAAAGGAAAACAAATCAAACATCATCTACAAAATAAATTGTGCCAACTGCGAAAAACACTACATCGGACAAAGCGGACGCCCCCTTCACCTGCGCCTACATGAACATCAATTAGCAGTCAAACGGCATGATATCTCCTCACTTATATCAATACACGTGGACAACTGCGGACACTCATTCGATTGGAAAAATGTAGAAATCTTAGACAGAGGAAACTCCAAAAACACCAGAGAATTTTTAGAAGCCTGGCACTCAGGTCAATCAGCAATCAACAAGCATATTGAAATCAATCCAATTTATTAACCAATCAGAAAAATCATGCACAAACATAAGAACAAAAATCAAACCAATGGGAGACAACCAAAACAAAGAAGTAAACAATGACAAATTTAAGGTCAATAAGAACCAATCAACATCGAGGTGCACAGAACAAGCTTTGAAACACATATGGAGAAATTCAAACACTTCACTTCCATTTGAAGTTTGTGCTGATGGTGTCGTTCAGAAGAGCGATGAAAGCACCACGACCAAACCATCCAGCTCAGAAACAAAACTCCACCAAAGTTCCGAAGAATCTCCGCTTTTAACATGTGTCATAACTCTTCTGAACGAAGACATTTCAACTAATAAAATACAGTTTCAATTATTTCAATGACTTTTAGTGGCTAACTTTTCAAGTAAGGTTTTCTTCTACAGTATCGCATTGATAGTACCATCATCAACTATCCTCCTTCATCAGAAATCAAAAACATCAACAACGCTAGAACGGTTACAGTTAGAGGAGTACCCATGTGACTAGTCCATGTGATTATATGCTTAACATCAATCTTACTCTCTCGGTGGTCTTAGGTCATGGGCACAAATAATCATTCGGTGGGAATTATAGTTTCATGAACACAGCGAATCCCATCAACTTTCATAGGTCATGACATGTATGAACAACAGATACATTACTGTTGTCTGTCACAATTCATTAAAACTAATATAAATATAATAAAAATAGTACAATTGTGATGTATTATTATATTGTTTTGATTAATAAAAATCTACCCAACACTCAGTTTATTTAAATTTATCAAGTCAAACCTCGGTTATGATACCAAATATAAACATCGTTATGGAAAATGTGTTTTACATAAACATTAGACCAATCAATACATCATCATAATAAGCTATTCTAACAAGAAAAATTCATCAATACAATCCATACTCATAGTGCTAATAAAAATAATATTCATCAGTGATCACAATTTTCTGAAGGTCATACGCATCCCTAAATGAGATGTGGAAATCTGCGTTAAACGATTACAGTATTGATTACATGCTTATCATTTCGAAATGTTACTCTTATTATTAAAACAATTTTGAATAAGCAAACTGTTTGAAAGAGTAAAACCAGCATACAATGTCACTAGAAATTTAAAACATCCAGTTCTCATGTTCACATACAAAATACCATTATCGTATCATGGGAAAACTTACCTACATTATTTTCAAATGTGAATTGAGCATTCAATGTTACGTAAAAAGTGCAGTGTTAAAGGATGATTAGGTAACAAAATGGATGATAGGGCAATTGTTCATAAGACAGTAAGGAACAGTAATAGAAAACAAATTGTAAAAGCTCACAATGCGGTCAGTTCACACCACAGCACACAAATTCAAGGTGATTTTATCAAATCACTGATTTGTAAAATTAGTCTGAGGTTGTAACTGTAAAAGTATAGTATAAGGACGAGCTTAAAACAACCAAGACGAATTTTAGTCAGTTGTGAGGTAGTCGAAAAACAGCTTTTATACATGAATGGTTTGTGGTAAATAAGCAATAGATGATAAAATAGATAAACAGATTTTACATAATTATCGAACCTATTGAAGTTTTCTACAAATTATCTTGTCCATAAATCCAAAAAACAATGACATTGAAATTCTAAATAGATATAGATTATCCGTCTTCTCAGACGATTATAAAGATGCAAACAGATTTCTAAGGGTCCGTACATTGTTTCTGGTTAGGGTTAGGTCACAATTAAGGATTTAGAGTTGGAATTAGATATAAGCCATTCGTTTTGAATTTAACACAAAGATTCAAACGTCGTCTTTTTGATTCTGATTAGATCATATCTATACGATAGCTTTACCCTTGTAAAAATCAATATTTTGAAATTTTCATATTAGAGACGATAACCATTCGACGACGCAAAATTAAGTGAGCACAAGCACTTTAGTACGTCTCGTATATGATACAGTGAATTACAAATTCTCCACTTACATCCATGGTAAACACATCAATTGAAAGTTGAAACTCGAGTAATCAAGCTGTTCGTGTTTCGCCTATACATCTAACAATAGATTTACTAACCCTTTTGCTCATACATCCAGGAAGTTGTGATATATTAACAAATGACAGAACGACAAAAGTTGTTTGATAAATACCCATTCCAACCCAAAACATTGGGTCATAACTTAAAAGTCTTACCGTTACTTAAAAAAAGAGCTCGACACAGTACGAAAAATTGACTCACACAATAACCATAATATAAAACATATGTTAAATAAGAATGGGATGAAGATAGATTTTATTGATCTCAAAGAGATATCTCACTACATATATTCATAACAGACAGCAAAACTGCGGTTGGATCGCTACTAGCTTGTTATTTGAACCAAGACTAATGATATATTAATGTAGTAAGTTGTACATTCTCTACGAATCCATCGAGAAAGTACTGGTATACTGACACCAAAACTAGATTCTATTTGTTGATCGATCTGTTATAAAAAAACTAACCCCCTCCCCATACTTCCTATCCAGTTCCAATATCAGCAAGTGATGGTCAGTAAGAAAGCCGTTAGTGACATGTGTAAGATGTGATCAGGGTATTGAAGCCGGTAGTATTTTAAGATGTCACCATCACTGATTAGAACATGATCTTCACACTATGCCTAGACGAGTTGATAGATTAGTAGTGTAGAAATATATATGAAACCTAGAGAGGTAATTATAGGGCCGAAGCTTTAAAATTGGTTAAGTTAGTACCACACTGAAAATAGATTAGTGGAAGCATAACTTACCACCGTTTGACAGAGTGAGATGTAGATTTTCTGATGAATGAAGCATATTCATATAAAGAGATGAGTTATTCATGATAGATTAATTAATCAATCACAGTAAAGTTTTCTGAAGAAATATTGTTTATTCAATTTTTGAGTCAAGCACTTGTTGTTATATCTAATCATACCTATAAAGGTTAAAAATTACAACTACACCAGTGGTGATGATTCGCAAACTAAGAAATCACACTATATACGCCGGAAAATGATCGAAATTTCTATGTATTGATACTTATTATTTTCTATTAGTTGCAGATTTTACCGAAGACCACACAGTGCACTTTATATTACTGAATAACCTTTACCAAAAGCAAGATTTCTTCTCATATATGAAAATTATATGAAACATGAAATAACTCAGTGAGGATTAGAGTGGATAAAGGATATTATACCAACCGGTATGATATAGTTTTCTAATTATCACTGAGATGAGATTCGGAATATGTAGGCTACTCATAGACCTGAGGAGCCAAAACAGTAGTCAATGTTAACACGAAAATCGACTGTAATTTGGACAACGTAAAGTTGAGTTAGACTAACTAAAGTATCTGTTAATTGTGTGAGAATCAGAAACGATTCTTTTCTATTGAACTGAAAACAAGTACAGTGATAGCTTGGTGGTCAAAAAACTTGGATTCCAACTAGTAAGATATAAGCTTAAACCCTGTTTTGCCTACTTCAGTTTGTGCAATCAAATAGTAACATCGGCCCTTATACAAACTATTTGCCTCAAAATCAAGTACACAAAACTTTACTTCATAAATCCGTTATACTAAAGAAAAAAACACCGTAAATTATATTGAGAATCTTTCTATATCAACCACACAAAAGAATGAATTCATGGAATCTCCAAAGTTTTTAAATAAATAATTATTCAACGCAGAACAAATGAATACAAACAGACCTTGGAATGTAATAGAAATCATAGAGATATATTTCAAACACGCCTTTATTACTTAGTCAGTTTCTTTCGTACAGAAGTTCCACTATTAATTAATTCAGTTTAGTATTAACTATTACAAATTATAAGTAATATATATAGTACATTAAAATTGTTAAATTTAAGTGTTTTATTTTTTTCTCGAAAAAAAGGGGAAACAGCACAAACATTTTAATATAAACTGAGTAAGAATTGTACGACCAAACGATACATTTTTATTTTCATACTTATAATGAAACATAATATAACTGGATTTAAAGTGACACTTGTCGACAAGTGGAAATAATAGTTGCACCGAAAACAAATAATTGAAAGATATCGAACACTGTGAAAGCAAGAGAGAGACTTAACAACATAATATTTATGTTACAAACCGTGCAATTTTCAAAGATATAATCGATTTCAGATCGTATAAAGTATTGAAGTATGATTGTTGAATGTGATTTAAATTACTCAGCTAGGATCTTCTAAGTATACAACTAGTAATCAGATGTTTTTAACAATGATGGTGATAATAATAATAATATATGATAACGTACCCAGCTCTTTTATAAACTGATAGTTCTTCTTCAACCTCAATCAGACGTGTTTTTAATTCATTACGTTCGATTAAAACATTTCTAAGTTCTTGAAGGGTGAAATGAGGACGATTTGGATTACGACCATCAATAATCATTTTGCCTTCAGCATTAAGTTGTTTAACTAACTGTTCCTCTGTTAACTGTGGAGGCTGTTTAGAAACAAATAAAGCAGTTCATATTAGGCACACAAACAAAACAATTTAAGCAGAATAGATAAAAAGGGGTTTGCGTTTAATGGTTTCAAATCTTGTTCAATTATTACGCAACCCATCTTATCAGGGTTTTTTTAATCCCAGGATTCTCGTACAAACCTTTCATTACCTCTTAAATTAACGCACAATTTATTTTATGTCTCTGAACTTCACTCAATTATCACATCACCCATCCCCATGTTTTTTTATTCTAACACCAAATGACCTCCGACCTGTTCTTGCACACATATATATAATTATTATTGATAATTTTTGTCATTCCTATTCTTTACATTCACTTACGTCAATTGTTTCACGCCATATCTTACCCCAATATAAATTTTAACACATATTGTGTTGTAAGCAGCTGATGAGAAACTACGGAATATAATGAATTCATATTATTCTGCATCTATGTTTGTTCTGGCTTTGTCTAAACTCAAAAAAATTTGTTTGTTCAGTTAATGCGGTGAATTTCATATGAAAATAATTTTATGGTGAAAGATGGAAATTTAGCTGTAATGTGCTGCTTTCAAAACTCATCAGTTGGATGAGCGCTATAATCCCATCCGGAGCAAAACCGAACACTTATCACTTGAAATACTAAGAATGTTGATTAATAGATTATTACTGAATAAAGCTAATATCAGCGATGTTACTGTTTCTAATTCAAAGATTGCCTAACATCATTTTTTCTGCCAGAAAATAGAAAAGAATAATTTTCGGGAGAAAATTAATGAGAATTTTTAGGTGTATTGGTAAAGTCGATTCTCTCTCTGGATAGGAAGATGGCAATTAGTTTTAACAGTTAATTATGATATGAACCACTTGTGAAAAACTAGCAATTTAATATATCCATAGGTAAGAATTGTATAAAATAAATAACTTTGTAGATTATAAAAACTTAACTGACCCAGTGTCTTTGTGGCAATTTAATATAGGTTGTTCACTAGAACTGTTAAAGACTAATTAACCGATGATTATCAACTAAGATCAATATCGGATTATAACATTATGACTGATAGTCTACCCTAAAGACAACTTGTATATAGCTACTGCGTTACACATTTATAAAGCCGATAAATTGGAGGAATGTGTAAACCGTTGAGTGACAGCTCAGTGGTCATGATAATAAGTGCTCGCCCCAAGGTTCTGGGTTCGCCCCCCGATGGAATCATGGATGATCATCGCTGACGGGTTACATACTAAGACAGGACAGTTTTCCAGTGCTTCCTAGTTCTTAGTGGTTTTATAACCAGAGTCAACCTCAGCCAACGACCTTAGCAATGACAACACCCTATGATAAAAATAAACAATTGATGAGATTAATGGGGAAATCAACACATATGTAGAAAGAGAGGTTTACTTACCGGAGTCTCTGGAGATATCAATTCAGCAATTAAGGATTTCGACATATCAATACAAATAGATGATTCGGTATTATTGCTATTATTATTACTATGATGGATATGTTCTTCCATTTGTTTAATTTGCTGATCTTTTGTATTGAGTTGTGTCTCTAAAGTTAGCTTCTCTTCACGTAATTGATCTGCTTGTTGCTTACTGACAAAATGTTTACGACGTAGTGATGCATTCAGTTTGGCTAAACGTGTGGCTTGTTGTTGCATCTGATAAGAGTTAAAAAGAAACGAATATAAAGTGGTGAAAATTTGTGAAATAATGGACATATAAAAGAGTATACTAATGCATAAAGATAGAATTTTAATGAGGGACTGAAGAATTTGATGTGTTATTGGGAGTTTGAGAGTACCAGACTGATATTTATTTTATATTGGAGTTCCTTAGAGGTGAATTCTCTCTGATCTTATCGAAATTAAAATTGACTTTTAGATCTAGCAAAAATTTCGTCACTATTTAATTAGCTCATACACCTACACCATTCACTTCACATCTCATAATTAGCAGTTTCAAACTTTATTCACCTCTTTCTTTTAATTAGCACCATGGTCATTCAAAGCTGATAAGATGAAAAGCAAAAAGGAATGCTTTAGCGACTGAAGCGAGTACATGAAGAGGACCTTGTTGAGAGAATAAAAGCTTCGAGCTTCCAGGTATGATGTAAGATTATTAGTACATAACTCGCACAAACTCGAATTTTATAACCAATCTGGAATTGAAACAGTAATGCACATGGATAAGTGTACACACTTCTAAAATTACAGAACTCTATTTTGTCTTCATTTGCCCCTAAATGCCCTGGTATGGACGAGGGTGGGGAGAGTCCGTTCTCTCTCTCCCGAAATGTTCTCACATGGACACGCGTATATAGCCTCTGCCAGGGGAGTCCGACTCACTGCCTTCTCGTGGCAAAGGTATTGTTTACGAAATTGAGAGGATGAAAAGCGAACGTCCGGCGCTTTAATCGAGTTGGTGGACATGGATAGTCCACCAAGGGGAGTTGGAAAACCCTGATTCCAAACCAATAGTGTACATGGGCTCCAGGATCCTGAAGGAACAAATGGCGTATGAACCAATCGTCGGTCACCGACTACCATGGGACTGCATCTCCTTACGATGCTTCACTGCCTTGTGGATCAGACATTTAGGTCGAAGGCTCTGGGTGTAGGCCCTTAAGAAAACCACCTGGTTCGGTTTGGACACCCGGGCAGTATCACAGCCCTCACGCAAATCAAGTGAGATTAGTGTGGCACATATGTATCTGGTGCCCCCTTGTACCAGTATTTATGTGTTCAAATAAACAAATAAATAATAAATACTTCATTACCATTTACAGGAACCTACATGCGAAGATATTTCACAAACTAATAATTAAGCATTATGGTCAAGAGAGATAGTTTCTCAAAAATATTGTTCCTTATACTTTGATGATGCAAAAAATAGAATTCCGGACACTAATTATAAAATTATTACATAGGGTAAGTTTCACCATCTACGTAGAGCATGATGAAATAGTTGAAATGTTTTTGTTAGGGTAAATTCCAGGCAAATCATGTGCTGGCTCAAGGTCGTGATCTAGGTGAGTGTGGGCGTCATACTGTGAGTAAGAGAATTATTCACTTATCCAAACTCAAGTATCCTGCCTAGAATGGTATATATATATATATATATATATATATATATATATATATATATATATATATAGCTGGTTGGATCAATGTTAAGAAGCATGTAATTGTGTATGAATCTGACTGACAGATCGTAAGAATTCTTAAATACTCGTCACAATATCCTAGATATCTTCGAATATCATTGGTCTGATGGCAATGATTTAGTAAAAGCGTCCCAAATAACCAAATAACAAAAAATTAATGATTAAATCTTAGAATAAAAAGCATTAATTCATAAATTCATCAAGTGTGGTATGTTAAAACGATGCAGTGTTTGTGCATCCATTAGAAATCAAATACTATTTTGAATGAATTGGGATACAAACCTGTCATATATCACGTACAAATTGATTAAATCAACTTATACTTACTAAACAAAACCAAAGAAACTCAAGATACGCAACTGAGTTTATATTTGTGTGCCAAGACTTAAGAAATTCATTATATTTGACTGCTAATGTGCACTGACTGTACTTATGAGGAAGATATTTAATACAAATTCTGCGGACTATACAAACCTAGTTCAAGCTCAAGATTTACAGCAACAACACTTCAACTAATATGGACACGGACGCACAGTAAGAAGCTAAAGTGTAATCTTTTGCAAGAGACCCTTTTTTATCGCTATACAAGGTGATATTTATGTACGGCTAGTTTATAAATATACAGTCGGTAATTATTTTTGGAAAACATGAGGCAAGCAACATATTAAAGAAGGCAGTCCATTGAGGAAAAACGCAGATCATTGCAGGGAAAAGTTTCGGAGAGATTAAAGTAATTTCTAATAAATTTATAGACCAAGTAAAACATCAACGACGACATAAAACTAGTAAATCATTATCCCAGTTCTAACTAAATATTTTGAGAACCAAGACATATAACTTGAAATATATATTCCTTTCTGGAGGTTAGAGAATTACTAGAAATAACAATACACGTAATTTAAAAACTAGTAAATTCCTTCCAACTTATTTGCTAGGTACTTGGTTTTGAGCCACGCTGCAAACGTAAAAGACAGTGATACTACACAGTTTCCCAGACTGAAGTAGGTGGAATATTGTTCGAACCTGCGACTTGGTGGCTGAGGGTCAGATGTCCTGACCATTGAGCCACCGTTCTATTTCGAAACTAATAAATAAAGGACTGGCAGTAATTAGTCCCTCTATTTCATTGTGATTATTGACCCATATTGCCTTGATTGGTTTAAAAATTTTCGTATAAATATTCATGTATATTGGAGTAAAGCCTGATGACGATCTAATTGAAAACAATTGTTCGCTTATATGTGTTGTTCTTATTCGTAAAACACAAGGAAATCTAATATACAAGATATTTGACTTTCAAATGCAGATTAACAATTAATTATAGATTTGTGTAAATAGTTTTAAGCATATTATTTGTGTAGGAGCGAGTAATAAAATAGAGCGGTTGACTAAAAGTAAAAGTAATGCGGCTTATAGTCTGTAACTCACTGATCAAAGATCGATGACATTACTTACTGAAACTGCCATCACTACTTTTAATCTTATGTACGTACACGTAGTACATTGATATTACTGAAATCATTTAAATGTTTAACACAATTTGTTTACAAAAATGGAAGTAATTTTTTTCATTTTTAAGTGCTTGATAACATACTTAGCATCATAACCGTAATAATCATGATAATAAATAGTTTAAAATTGGAACGGAAGAACTTGGTACGTAAACAGGTCCATTATTAGTTTATAACGACCAAATACACAAATTAAGGTTACATAATCGTATTGTAGTCATTCATAATGTTGTAAAATGAAAATTCCAGAGCAAAGTTTGAAAATATAGATCAGTGTTGACACCCGTTGATTCACCGATCAAATTTCAAAGATAATAAGAAATCAGTTTTTAATGACTGAGTGTCCAGTAGTTTGAAGATTGGTCAATATCACAGTTTTTTAAATACAATGTTATTAAAACGTAATTAAAAAACAAAAATAATGACGAATAAGGATATACGTACCGCATCTAAATCAACATGTTTTTGAGTAAGCTGTTGACGTAATGAACGAATTAGTATTTTCTGACGGTCTATAACTTCTTTAAGGCGTATCATAAGTTGTATTTCCTCGACATTTGTAGAATCTAGAGAGTAAATGAATAAATAAGGATGCTGAACAATAGAAGGAAATGGAGAACAGTAAAATCACCTTCCTAAGTGAGTGAGTCAATCATGTGCAACGTAGAGCCTTACACACATGCGCATTCGTTCAATTTGTTATACTACACAGGGAGATAAAAATATCAAGGAAGATTCTAAAGTAGTAAATAGAGTAGCAGCATCAGTAGTGGTAGAAAAGATTATGCATAGAAATAGAAAAAGGTAAATGGAGATTTCAAGACTCAGGGAAGACAGAACGAATGCACCTGGGCCATTGAGAACTATCTTGAGCCATTTCATCCAAAGTCTCTAACATTTTTTAAGTATTTATAATAAGTTTAGTATAGTAAAATTTACTAAGCTAAAATATAATCACTAACATAGGATTTTTGTAAATACTAATTGCTTTTTGTTAACCTCTATCATGAGCGGATATCACTTAGAGAACTATGGAAAAGCAGAAGAAATTGGATAGTCAATCTAGAGTACAATGAAATTCAGCAGTGGGTACCAACAACTTAATAAGGAACGGGACCTAGGACCTTCAAGTTTCACAGTAAATAGTCATGTGTACTCATCATCGCTGGATCAAAGAATTGAGTTAAACGTTTTTAATACACTCTGGTTTCCAGTTATTCTTTAAATAGATTCAGTCAGTGTTCAAATATTTAAATTAATTTAAGAACGGTGTTTGTATGCACGGTCCAGATAAGCCAAGCATCACAACGACTCACTGCCATTTTATTTCATTGAAAGCAAACGAATTAGTGGATGGCACTGACAATTTAATAAAACTTCATTGAGTCCAGCAAGATATCTTACACTCAATTGAACTGTCATTATATCTTCTTTCATAGAAGAATATGTTTATAAGTGCGTTAAGTCAGGCAGATATGCGTCAAAAATTAAGGCTGAAATAATGGGATCCCAAATTTTCCGATAATTATCGTCAATATCAACTTCTAATTGGGTTTACAAATTTATAAGGATTCTGAGATAAGTCAAAAGTTATATTAAGTTTATATTTACATAGCAAGTTTATGATGCTACTACAACTTAGAGGATAGTGTGAATTTTTGTTCGTAGTTAATGGCAAGTTAGAATGAAATCTATAAATACACATGTATATTATGGATTTTTAGAAACTTTAAGGGTATGACCTTACTTGCAGAACAAGCTGGAATCGGTGAATGGTTAGTCGATGCTTCATTATCTTCAATTGCATCTTTAAGTTGTTTGTTTTCTTCTTTTAACTTCTCAATTAGTTGGGAAAGTTCCTGAACTTCAGAATGCCATGTCTCCTCAATTTGTTCCAGCTCCTCAAAGAGTAATGACAAGGAAATTTGTCTTTAATCAAATTTTAGCAATACAACTTAAAGGTTAATGATTTGATTATTCGCTATAATACTATGCAAAAGTTAATTTCTGACTACTTGAAACAAGGTGTTAAGAGCAGATTTACAGTTCCTGACACTAGAGTTGTGTATATATTAGATACCAAACGAGCAATAATTTAACGGCACTTTAACGATACTCAGAAATGCACATATACTTGTAACAAAACGAAATTTCCTGGTAAAAAGCCTTTAAGTGTCACAACATATGGAAGGCATTTAAAAAGCTACTGATACGATACGTCTTACACGACCTCATAATATAGACAGAAGCATTAAATTTCATTGAAGGAATTGTTACTTTGAAGTAACTAAGTGGAAATTTGCAGTTTAAATGACGGCATGAATCTGGTACGAATCTCGACTAAGAACCAAATATAATTTGTTATATCTCTAATAGCAAACTACACAGTTTAATAAAACAGCCAATAAATGCTTTCACTTTACCATAAATAATAACATCGGTTATCGGATTTTCAATAATTTCTCCAAAGTTCACTGTTCACTTGATTAAATAGGCAAATACGAGTTGGTTATAACAATAGGAATATAATACCTAATCAATCTGTTGATGATAAAGATTTCATTGCGGTACATCTAACATTGTCTATGTTGTGTCATAAGTTATAACCTGGACCTTACCACGACGTAGTTCGAAATATAATAACGCAGTAATGAACGAAATAAGTGAACGCGATTAGTGGACGTCCGCAATCTCATTTCAACACTATGTCTTTAATATTCGACTAGTCCCTATCTATCAAGAGAGACAGCCGAAGTGCGAAGAATATATATTCTATGGAGAGATAGGATTTCTTATATAAATAAACTTTTTAGTATTTAATAGACGTTTAAACAACTCCGACTTTAAACTGATTTTACACTAAATACATGTCAAATATGAATGAAATAATTACTAGAATACAGTAGAGTTACATACTGAAATAATTAACAACAATTTATAAAAATATAATCGTGTTAACTGAGAGATTAGCACACTAGGAGATCAATAGTTTTACTTTTGTTCGCTTCTTGATATCAGTTCAATATACAATAATAATACGCAGAAATCTTCATTGACATGATTTCCTAGGATTTATTCATGATGCTTTAGTAACGGCTTATTATTAAGCCTATATACACCAAATAAAAGGAAACACGTCGAAACAACTGTAAAAAAACCAACTGTGGTAGACAGTTGTTTAACAGACAGGTAGCCTATATTGCTGAGTCATGAGTTTGTAGTGACTCACATTTATCACGAGAACATGACTGGTTTAATAAAAACAATTATTATTATAACCAACTGTACCAGTGTTTGTTTTAACGTGCTTTTGTTTGACTGTGCTAATGACAGCTATTTTGTGCTTCCATTCTTATACTTACTTACACTTCGATTGTAACTTCGCGCGAATTCGGTTACGTTCTGTAACCAAGCTTGTATCCTGGCACGATCTCGGTATCCTTTCGATGCCACGAGATCGCCAGCAAATAAACATCGACTTGGTCTATTAACTGTCTTCTGATATTTGGCTTCTCGGAGATTTTATGGGTTTCTTTGGTTACGTCCAACCTTCGCCTTCTGATTTATCTGGCACGTGTTTCTTGGTAGCGGTGTTCATAGTCAATTTCGACTCGACGCCACGCTACAATTGGTGAGCCCGACGTGATCGAACACGCAGCCTTCTGATCTGGTGCCCGCCGTTGTCGAGCACCATGCTCATACAAGGCGGGAAACGCCAGCGCCGGCGAGTAAAAGCGGCCGTACTCGCCGGCCCTTCTCCCCAGGTTGGTCGCCTATTCTATGTGCACGATTATCGCACAAACGCTAGGTTCCTAGTAGACACTGGGTCCAAAGTTTCTGTCGTACCACGAGGTAGCAGCAAGTCGCAAGCCACAGTGCTTCGACTATGCGCTGCGAATGGCTGTCATTCCTACCTACGGTACACGACAACTCGCGGTCAACCTGGGCAACCGACGACGGTATCTGTGGACGTTCATCATTGCTGATGTTCCCACAGCCATACTAGGTATCGATTTTCTACAGCACTATGAATTGCTTGTCGATTCACGTAGGCTGCAGCTAATCGATACTTCGTCGAACAGCAAATTCATGGGCTGTAAAGCCCACATGAACGCGTACCGAATCCTCGGCACTTTTTACTCGCGTGACGATAAATTCCACGCTTTATTCGAGAAATTCCCCGTACTCACTAAACCACTCGAGGAGCTTCCATCGGTGACCAATCGTGTGGTACACCACATAGTCACCCGCGGACCGCCAGTCACGGCACGACCTCGCCGACTGGCACCGGACAAATTAGTTTTTGCTAAGCGTGAGTTTGACAATTTACTAGATACTGGTATTATTCGTCCTTCTCACAGTCCATGGGCCTCTCCTCTACACATGGTGCGCAAAAAAGATGGGGTTAGTTGGAGACCATGCGGCGACTACCGAGCTCTAAACGTAGTTACGCGCTTTGATAGCTACCCCATCCCCCACATACACGACATCACGGCATCGCTCAAGGGCACGACTATCTTTGCTAAGATCGATCTGGTACGAGCATATCATCAGATCCCAGTCGCTCTTGAAGATATCGAAAAGACCGCTATCACGACTCCTTTCGGTTTGTTTGAGTTCCTACGAATGCCATTTGGATTACGGAATGCTGCTCAAACTTTTCAAAGGTTTATCAATAGGATTGTACAAGACCTCGATTTTTTTCACGTCTATATTGATGACCTGCTAATCGCATCATCAAACATAGATGAACATTATCAACATCTTACGCTATTATTCCAACGCCTTTCGGATAATGGAATAGTAGTTAACCCAGACAAATGCGAGTTAGGTAAACGAGAAATAATATTTTTGGGTCATGTTATCAAGCAAGAGGGTATCCTACCTTGTGAGGACAAAGTGCAAGCAATAAAGGAGTACAACGTGCCGTCCTCACTCAAGGAACTGAAGGCTTTTCTCGGTTTGGTTAACTTCTACCGTCGTTTCATCCCACACGCGGCAGAACGGTTACGACCACTAACCGACTTACTACGCGGCAACCCACGCAGATTAGAAATGAACGATTCTGCACGTACTGCATTCACTGAAATCAAAACGGCTCTTGCGCAAGCCACTCTTCTCGCCCATCCCGATCCATCAGCCACGCTTAGTATAGCGGTTGATGCATCCGACGTTGCTATAGGAGCAGTCATGCAACAAAACATCTCCGGTAGTTAACAACCCCTCGAGTTTTTCTCACGACGCCTTACTACCACGGAGACGAGATATAGCGCTTTTGGTCGCGAGCTGCTAGCAGCCTACTGCGCCATCAAACATTTTCGGCACGCAGTAGAAGGACGTCGATTCATCTTATTCACCGACCATAAGCCCTTAACGTATGCTTTGCATACCAAGTCTGACCGCTACTCACCACGAGAGTGCAGACATTTGGACTATATCTCCCAGTTCACGACAGACCTTCGTCACATCCAAGGCAAGTCGAACTGTGTTGCCGATGCTCTATCACGAATCCAAATGAATACAGTTACCCTGCCGGTGCTCGATCTTCCTGCTATGGCTGCTGCGCAAGCAAACGATCCCAGCTGTACAAAAGCACCACACTCTACGTCCCTTCAGTATCAGGAAGTACCTCTAGCCACGACTTCTGGCACCATTCTATGTGATACCTCTACCGGTCTTCCTCGACCCATCGTACCCTCTGCTTATCGCCGTCTCGTATTCGATGCCCTGCATGGATTATCTCACCCAGGTATCGCAGCTACATTACGCCTCATCGCTGCACGATACGTCTGGCCGTCCATGAATAAAGATGTTCGTATGTGGGCTAAGCAATGTTTACAATGTCAACGATCAAAAGTGCACAGGCACGTAGCCGCCCCCCTCGGTACATTCGCTACGCCTGATGCTCGCTTCGATCACGTTCACTTAGACATTGTAGGACCACTGCCACCATCGCACGGGTATGATCACACACTCACGTGCATCGACCGCTTCACCAGATGGCCCGAAGCTATACCCATCACGTCTATCACGGTGGAGACAGTTGCTCACCGCTTCGTAGAACGATGGATAGCTCTATACGGTTGTCCCTCGACTGTCACGACTGACCGAGGACAACAATTTGAGTCCGCACTATTCTCCTCACTTACTCGGCTGCTTGGTACGGAACGCATACGCACTACCGCCTACCATCCAGCTTCAAACGGTTTAGTGGAAAGGTTTCACCGTCAACTTAAAAGTGCTCTTCGAGCACACGAAAACGACGACTGGTACGAAACCTTACCGCTCGTTCTTTTAGGTATCAGAACGAGTTTAAAGGCAGATATCCAATGTTCCGCCGCTGAACTTGTATACGGCACGACATTGCGTCTGCCCGGGGAATTCTTCACACCATGGTCAACAACCGATACGTTGTAGGATTATTCCTATACTACACGCATGCTACACTCTTCTTTTTTTTTATTTTCTTTTTGTTTCCTGAGCCCACGCCTTCGACCACCTCCGTTTGGTTCCGTCGACTTCAGTCAACTTTGGCGAAAGCTGGCCTGATCACCCATGCTCTTGTCAACGCACTCAGTCGATATATTGGTTTCGAATGCTTGGCATACGCTTGGTCTCGAACTTGGTCGTTACGGTCGCTTCTGGTCTTTTGGCTCAACGTGGTTTCGTCCTTCGTCTGCAGCGTTTATGGTCCGGACCCCTACGAACGCCCTCTTCAGATTCTGGATACAAACCACTCTCGTGTAGCATGCCAACTCAAGCAATACATACAGCACATCGCTCCTGGTACCGTTCTCCGAAAACGAACTTCGTTGGCAACTCGACGATCAACGATCGCTTTCCTGTTCGCCAATCTTTCCGTCCTACAATCGCTCGTCAGCCGATCAGTCCCACGATTTAAACCGCTACTTATCGAAAGTGTAAACCCTTTCTAGCGGGAGGCTCCTGTAGTGACACATTTATCACGAGAACATGACTGGTTTAATAAAAACAATTATTATTATAACCAACTGTACCAGTGTTTGTTTTAACGTGCTTTTGTTTGACTGTGCTAATGACAGCTATTTTGTGCTTCCATTCTTATACTTACTTACACTTCGATTGTAACTTCGCGCGAATTCGGTTACGTTCTGTAACCAAGCTTGTATCCTGGCACGATCTCGGTATCCTTTCGATGCCACGAGATCGCCAGCAAATAAACATCGACTTGGTCTATTAACTGTCTTCTGATATTTGGCTTCTCGGAGATTTTATGGGTTTCTTTGGTTACGTCCAACCTTCGCCTTCTGATTTATCTGGCACGTGTTTCTTGGTAGCGGTGTTCATAGTCAATTTCGACTCAACGCCACGCTACAAGTTACATAAGTGAATCTCAAAGCTCATTGCCAATTATCGTGATCTATCTAACACCATATAAAGTGCGACACAATGTCCAGTTATACGTACGGAATGAAATAATAAAAATATGAGAATGTAATATTCATTCTTTTGAATCACTCAGGATTTCTAAATTGCCCAGTTACTTATTCATCGGCTGTAAGGATTGGAAAGAACGTAAACCTACCTTTTTATGCCTCTTTTGATCTTCTTTACGTTCCAACTTTTCAAGTTCTAACCGGTGTACGGCAGTTTGAAGGGTAATAATTTCTCTACCTTCAGACTCAAACTTTGTTGCGAAATCTTCCAATTCTTCAAGGACGCTTATCACTTTAGGCATTAAGTTGGACACTGAGTACGGCCCATATTTATCAATGATAGACTCAAATTCTTTACCAATTGAAGCAGCTATGTCGTAAACATCGAGAACAGATATAGACGGTGTAGATGGACGATCGCTTAGTGCTTCGGAGGGAAAAGTAACAAGGGTTTTATTTACACCCTCCAGGCTGAAGCGACGAGTAAGCCTGGGGGAGTTATTTGGATGGGACAACAGTTTGGATAAGCTGAATGTAACGGAAAAAAGTGGAAGACAGCATAATTTCAATGTCAGTACTTAATTTTCCAAATTATAGTAACGTATTTATGAGTATCAGTGAGGCATATATTTGACTTTTTGCAAAGATTTATAGGATTGTCAACTAAATTTACACTTTCAATTAGGGAACTTCAGTTATTGTCCAAGTTCATTCCAAATTAAATTGAGCGAGAACCAACTTAATACATACAAGTTGGATAGAAAATAGGAGCATGTCGAACAACAATACAACTAAGATTTTGCTTATCTTAAAGAAACACATTGGTGATGAGAAATACAAATAACCTTGCAGTAAGATAACATATTTGTTTAAACACATAAACATTGGTACAAGGGGGCACCAAATGCATATGCGCCACATAATAACAATGAGGCCAGTAGTGGTTAACATATGGTCTTCTATTAGTTATTTTTGATATCATACTAAGATAGTAAGCTGTACAACTTTTAATAACCCATTTAAGGCGTCTTGGAGTATCAGAAGACGCTAATCCATCATGGTTATTACTGATTTCGTAGTACCATGTTACAAAATGACCACCAGCTTGAATTCTCAACCCAGTACTACAAGTAGTGTTCCGTTTGAAAGTCATGTTGGTAAGGTATGTAAAACATGACATAGTTGTTCATGACGGTGTTCCAAGATGGGATAATTGGTGCACTATCTCCTTCATAACACAACACACACTAAAGTGAACAGGAATTACTGATGCGAAATTACACTGTAAACTCTACATCGATTGGGCTCCTCCGTAGAAAGATGGTAACCTTAAGAAATAATTGGGTAAACTGACTACCAGTAGTAGTCCTATAATGAAATGAAAATCAGAAATTTGTTTCGATTTTTATCCAGGACTACTGATTGTCGTGAACTCGGCTGACAGTTCACCACGATAAATGTAAGACGTTGTGAATGCCTTAGGAATCAATCGAGTGACGAATCCCTTAGATTCTTTCTTTACAGTATAGCTGCGATAAAAATCAATGTAAACAAAATCTCTCTTGGATTTATTTATCGCTCATACAGGGGGAATACGTAACCCCATACGATTGCTATAGTAATAAAAAATATGAATATCTTGGCTCTGAGCGAAAGCGCACGCTACTAGTTGCTTTCGCGAATCACACATACATCAAATGAGTATGAAAGTACATATTTGATCACATTAAGGAATCATGGAAGAGAAAATGAAGGTTTTTGGAAACCTGGTATATCCCCTAGGATTTTATATTATCGAAATACAAAAACGTCTTGGATGTTCAGACTAACGAATGGGTCCAAACGGAGAATTACTTCAAAGACACATCGTAAACATAATAACACAATTTTACTAGTAATTCTTCATGAATTCTCTTTAACTAATAAATTAAGACATTTATGATCCAGAAGTCTTTCAGTCATAAGTTACGATTTGAAAACACTAAGAGATACTAGGAATATGGAACATACATTTTACGAAAGAAATATGTGACCAAACACCAAACCGAAGAACTTGGTAACCTTGATAATCTGTAACGCAAAACTCCAAATAAACGCTGAATTGCTACAAGTGAATCAAATAGATTTGAAAGGAATAGAAGAAGCTTTCGCTTAACGGGCTTCCGTGTCTAGTATCAGTGGACCACCGATACCTTCCGGCAGGAACCTAGGTATATTAACGACAATAGAGGAAAAACGAAATTGGTAAATCATAGTAAGTTATTATCCTTAGTCCTTAAGAATAGGTCAAGTTTCCTCTCAAAGGACTCCTGGGAAGCGTTTGACTACTCTTAAGGAGTAGAAGTCGTGTCCAAAGTCCGTTCTGCTATGTTGTATTTCCAGTTTCTGGGCGTTACCCCTAAGGTTTGTGTTGGAGCTAAACTTAAGTAGGTGCTTAAAGGGATGTCCAGAAGTGTTAAGGACACTGTGATCCATTAAAAGGTCACCTATAAGACGCCTTTACTATAATGGGTAAAAGTTTAGTGAATGGAGGCGCTCTTCATAAGGCTTGGATTTGAGTCCCCGAACTGATTTCGTGCCTCGCCTTTGGATACGCTCCAGAGTGTTCTTATCCTTTTGGAGTGAGAGAGGAAATACTATTTTTCCATAATCTAAATGGGGACGCATGAAACTGTTGAAGATTATGTGGAACGTTCTCCCGTCAAACTGACCAAAAATGGGTTTCAATGTTGCCAGTGCAAGATTCGCTTGAAAGGCATTTTTGTCACAGTTATTATTATTATTATTTTTTATTATTATTAATGGCTTTATTCAATATTATATTTTGGTACAATATAGAATTCTCAGCACGGGGTATTTCAACAAGTTACTTACTGAACAACGAACAAAAAAGGCAGTAGCGAATACATAAAGAAATATATAAAATAAAAATTTAAAAAAAAAACCAAAAGAAACTACAAACTTTTAAAATTAAAGACATGTTAAGAATGTAAGTTATTGACTAAGTTAATTCTAACAACCTGTTCGTCACAGAGTATATTTGATAGGTAAGGTATTATAGAACTTTTATACTTTTCCTTGCGTGCAAGGATTTTAATGTAATTACGTCTCGTTCTACCAGAAGATATACAAGGAGAAAGATAAGAGTGAAGGGGATGGCTAGTATCTGATAAAATAACACCTGCCAGGAGTTTGCATGATTTTAGATGTCTGTCCACAACCATATTAATTATGACCTCGAAAGATTCACCACACGTCTTACTAACTGCCTTTAGCACTCTTCGCAATACAGCAAAGTCTTTTCTCAAAAGCCCGGGAAAGAATAATGGAGAACAGTAAAGAATAATAGGTAATATGCAAGAATTGACAAATTGTAAGAGAAAATGACGAGTAATTCCAAGAGCATGCAATCTCTTTATGTAGTAGGTCAGACGGAAAACCTTCTTTGATAACGATAAAACGTGGGAAGACCAAGACAGATCAGAGGAAAAGGTGACACCAAGATAATTGACCTTCGACACCGCGTTTATCAAAGAGTCTCCGATGGTACAAGCACTATGGGATCTCAAAATAGTGTTTATATTCCGTTCATGTCTCATACTAAAGTTAACAGCTTGACATTTAGATGGATTAAGTATGAGACCATTACCAACAGACCAACAATCAATACGGGACAAAAACTCATTCATTTCTATGGGATGTAAAGAGGAAGATATAGGCATACATACAGTGAGATCATCCGCGTACTTCACAAAAGTGTTTTCTGTGGAAGATGGCAGGTCATGCAGAAAAAAAGAGAATAGAAGAGGTGAAAGAACAGCTCCTTGTGGTACACCTTCCTGAGACAGTAGAGAATCTGAACTCTTTCCTCCAAACACAGTGTACTGTTCCCTTCCAGAGAGGTAGGAACACAGCCAGTTGGTTATCCAGCTGTCAGTGTTGACGCTGATTAACTTGTTAAGTAAACGTTGTCTTGGTATAGAGTCAAAAGCTGAAGTATAGTCTAGAAAAGCACATCGAACATAGTTCTTACCCTTTTCTAAGTTGAACACTATGTTGTGATGCAGAACTGCAACAGCATCTAAAGTGCTTCTTTTGCGCCTGTATGCAAACTGGTATGGGTCAGTATGCTGTTTTATCGCAGGCTGAAGTGGAAGTATTAATAATTTTTCCATGGTTTTGAGGAAAGGTGAAGTTATTGCAATAGGTCTAAATTTTACATTCTTATCACCAGATGCTTTCTTGGGTACAGGAATTATCTTCATCTTTCTCCACATTTTTGGTATGAGATTAGATGAGAAAGATCTGTTAAAAATAGTTGTGAACGGATGACACAGAACGTCAGCACATTTTTTAAAAAGGAGGTTTGGGATACCATCAGGACCCAAACATCGAGATGAATTAAGCGACTGGAGACATCCTCGTACATCAGTTTCAGTGAACGTATGAACACAGCTATTTTTTAAACCCGTGGATAGAGGGAGCATCACGTCAGATGACTGACGTACAAAAGACTTATTTAAGTCACAAACATTCAGCTGGTTATCGCTTCTAAACTTTCTGTCACCTGTAAGTTCTTTAAAGAATTTCCACATACTTGTAGAGTTTTTGCAAGATAAGAGTTTTTGAGTAAACATGCAGTTGAGACGTCTAATCTCTAGGTTTATCAGACCATTTAGCTTACGAACTTCATTTGAGTTCTTCTCTTTGTACATTCTTTCTTTAATCCTCCGTAGTCGTTTTAGTTGTGAAGATGTAAGCCGATCAAAACTTACAAAAATGGTTTCAGTGGGACAACAAATATCAAAACAGAATTTAAGGTAACAAGTGATAACATCAGTAGTGTTTTCGAGTGAGTCATCTGTAAATAATTCCCAGTTAGTCGTATGAAACATGTTTTTTAGATTTCGGATATTTTCTTCTGAGTAATTCCTATATTTGACTTTCTTGGTTTGATGTAAGAGTGTACTCTTCCCAGACTTTCCATAGACTTTAGGTAGAACACGAATTAAACAGTGATCTGAGCTAGACAATGGAGCACGTTTACGAGTCGCATATATACCCACATCATTAATGAAAACGAAGTCTAAATGAGCATCCAAACGAGTAGGAAAATCTACTACGTTTTGGTGACCTAGTGACGTGAGGAAGCTACAGTCACATGAATTGAAATCACCGCATACAATTGAAAGTGAATCACTGAAGGCAGTAACAGCGAACTCAGTGAATTCATCAGCAAAAACAGATAGTGCAGATGATGTGCAATCTGGAGTGACATAGATATTGGTAACATAAACATATTTGTATTTATTCAGATGTTTTGGACGACATCTTAGAGTTAGACAGTCGATAAAGTCATTTGAAAACTTAAAACACACAGACGAAGATCGACACCAGTTTATGTTTACAAACGTAGCTACACCGCCACCACACCTTTTTTTATTGTTCGATCGATCCTGACGATAAATTTTGAAATCATGTAGTGATACAAGACAGTCATCTTGTAAATCATTCAACCAAGATTCTTGAATTGTGATGACACCACAATTACGATACGTATTTTGACTAAGCAGGAATTGCAGATAGTCCACTTTGTTGATTAATGATCGGCAGTTAGAATTAAGAAGCTCGGGAATTGACATACGATTAATGTTCATTCTCTTTAACGCATATTGCCAACCACCACGATGCCTTTTATAGTACTTTTTCTTAACTTGTGCAGCGAAAGGTCGTAAGGTTTTCATAAAAGCGCCTGAATAGGTTATGCGATTAATGGACATAATTATAAATTAAAACAAATAAAAACTGATAACTTGTTGAAATAATCAGATGGCAGAAACAGGTAGCCCAGATATTCAAGCAGGCCGCCGCCGTAAGACTTCAAATCGTAGGACACCAGCACTCCTAAATCTTTTTCAACTTGGGATACTCCTAGAGAGGAGTTTCCTAAGTTGTAACTGTAGTCTGCAACATGTCTCAGATGGACTACTTTACACTTTGAGGTGTTAAGCGTAAGTCCGTTGTCATCTGCCCAACTTCCAAGTCGAGTCAGATCCTCCTGAAGTGCCAGCATATCCTATTGGTTGCGTATCTCTCCAACGTTTCACATCACCAACAAAAAGTAGTAAGTCAGACGATACCTGTCGTGGAAGATCGTTTATATAAATCAAGAGAAGAAGAGGTCCTAGTACTTGCGAGAAATGAGTAAAAACGTAAAAGTCACGTCCTAACTTCTGATTGCTTCATTTGCTTTTTAAACGTTTTGCAAATCACCTCACAATAACTTGTATAATCATCAAGATCGTAAAAATTTGAGTACACTACCGCTGAGACTGTTTACGTTGTAGTGGCTGTGCTTCGTTAATCAATCACCCTCGTAACCGTTATTATATAATCTTCAACCGTGTTTGAAATCAGAAGGCAAAGAGAAGCAGCGTCTACAGTTTTATTAGCAGATAGCTCAGACCACGCAACAGAGAGGCGAATGAGTCAGCGAGTCGAGAGTGTATATAGGACTAAATGTACATGTATATATATAAGGAAATGAATGGATCATCGAATCAATTAAGCAGCTAATAATAAAGCTAGCGTAATGAATATATGCGTAGGCAGTAAGCAGTGTTCAAGCATACATATTTTATACAAGCACAATAATAAAGGTACAACGATATAAGATAAGTTGTTCTAGAACGAATGACTCTCTCTCTGTCAAGTAAGTTAACAAGAGGGCTTAATCAAATAAATGTGAACAAACTCAATTGCATGTGGGTCGCTATAACATAAAATCACCCAATTTCGTTTTGTTTTAGGGCAATTATAGGTCTTTTTCTAGCAGGTGAGTTATACCAAAATAATAAGAGTTCTTAACCTATATAATCTAGTATATTTCAACCACACGTATTCCGGACAGAACACGGAGACATAGTGTCCTGCTTTCGATACGTTAGTGAGGATGTCGTTTACGTTATTTGATCGCTCGACAATGATAACGACGGAATAGATTACATAAATAAGTATAATAAGTGAAAAGTATAAATTGGTAGTGTGATGACGGATGTACTAGTTGTGATAAGAATAATAAAGGCCTTAATCAATGTT